ACCTTACACGAACCTGATTCTCCATTAATCTCTGAATTTCTCCCTTCTGTATGCAGAGTCGAGGGTGAAGTGAAGGGCTTACAGCCCTTTTGACTTTAAGGTGCGGGGTATATGGGGTGAAGTGTCATCTGAATTTCTGTTCTACATGACCAGAGCAATGAACCAACCATAAGAAGCCTGGCTCCTAGCCTACATACCTCGGACAATGGACGAACATGGTCCTTAGTAATGTGTCTGACCCGAACTCTTTTAGGGCTCAAGTAGCCTCCCAAGGTACAAATCCCAGACCATGAAACCTCAATAACCCTAAACCCTAGACCCTAGACCCAAGACCCTAACCCTAAACCCTAAACCCTAAACCCTCAACCCTCAACCCTAAACCTTGCCCAAGGCGCTGCCGAACTTCTCCACGAGCGCTTTGATGAAGTTCTCCCGCGCATCCCGGATTTCCTTCTTGCTGTTCCAGTCCTTCAAGGATTTAGGGTTTAGGGTTTGGGGTTTAGGGTTTGGGGTTTAGGGTTTAGGGCTTTGGGCCTGAGGATCCAGGTACCTATATGAAAACGGTGCGGGGGGGGGGGGGGGGGGGGGGGGCATCTTGTCAATCTTGTCTGTAGTGCCTTAACATTCCCATGCAAGACGTCATCGTCAATCCTTCGGTTGAGCTACTTTGGATCGGTCGTGCAATATATAGGCCTGTTGTGTGAGAATGGGTATGTTGGGTAGACTATATATATATATATATACATATTACCTAGGGGTTGTAGAAAACGTTCACCCTAAACCCTAAGCCCCAACCCCAAACCAGAAGCCCTAAACCCTAAACCTCAGAAATCGAAGCATGGCTCCTCGAGCGTGATGTCGCGGATGGAATCCTCCATGACTTGAAGTTTAGGATTCGATTTCATCGTTAATCGCAGCTGAACAGAAACCCTAAACCCTAAACCCTAAACCCTAAACCCTAAACCGTAAACCCCCAAAAAAACGTGAACTGCAGTGTAATCAGCACTACCCGGGCAGCAGGGGCCTGCAACAGCTAAGCCGAAACGAACAGAAAGAAGGCCGTCACAGCCGAGTGCAAAAAACAGGGTTTAGGGTTTAGGGTTTAAGGGTTGAGGGTTTAGGGTTTAGGGTTTAAGGGTTAAGGGTTAAGGGTTCAGGGTTAAGGGTTTAGGGTTTAGGGTTTAGGGTTTAGGGTTTAGGGTTTTAGAATCTGAGACAGCCGTCACAAGATCTCGAAGAGACGCTGGTGGTTTTTGTCAGCGCTCGATGGTTGCGAATGCTTGTATCGAATACAAGAAACTCACAAAGACGAGGTACTGTAGGCGATGTGGACTGACATTTCAGACATTGAACGCATAAACCCGACACCTTCAGTGTTTCCCGAAACTTCTTGCAACCCTCTCTGGAAGCTGGCAAGTTGTAATATCATGTGGATGAAACACCACGGATAAGCCTCTGGAAAAATCTTGACAGAAGTTGATAATTATCGGGAAAGCAGCTAAACACTAAACTTTCAACCCTAAACCCAAACCAGCAGGCCAGTAGAGACCACACCAACCACACAGACAATCAGCGTCCGGTTAGCTTGAACCATGCAGCTTGGGCGGTCGACCCCTTACAGACCTTAGGGTTTGGGGTTTAGGGTTGGTTTAGGGTTTAGGGTTTAGGGTTTGGGGTTTGGGGTTTGGGGTTTGGGGTTTGGGGTTTGGGGTTTGGGGTTTGGGGTTTGGGGTTTGGGGTTTGGGGTTTGGGGTTTGGGGTTTGGGGTTTGGGGTTTAGGGTTGTAGGCTTTTAGCTACAGCTTTCTGGAGGAGGGCGGCGATTTGGGCTTGGAGGTATGGTACTTAGTAACCAATTATAACTGCACTTATAACCATATTAGGGCACTTCAGGGGCTTAATAAGTACCATGAACCTCCAAGTGAGGATGGCGCAACCTTGAACCCTTGTGATGCTCCCCCTTATATAGGGATTATCGTACCCCCTGCTATAATCCCATGGGACTGCTAGTAATAGTAGAAGGGGGGAACATCCCCACTGAACCTCCGCAAAGCCCCAAATAAACTCGGCTCGAATAATCCCCAAGCCCCAAAACCAAGATCCCTGAACCCGAAATCCCTAAACCAACCCTCAACCCGAAAGCTCAGACCACGTAGCCTGTGGCTTCTAGAAACCCTAAAGCCCCTAAATCCCAAAGCCCCCCAAAGCCCCCCAAAGCCCCCCAAAGCCCCCTTAAATCAGCTCCAAACCCTCCATTCCAACAAGTCCTGCTTTGCCAGCAGCTCCTTAGCTGGTGGCATGATCACCGCGGCAATCTTTTGCTCCAGCTGCGTCTGCCGATTCTCACGGTACCTGGGGCTACTTACTCACTTCTTACAAAGTACTCTTGCCGCCACTCCAACGCGTCTTTGATCTTGATGCTACCGTGGTTGCGATGATCATCTCAATCTATATTTTCATTGCAGCCTTTCTTTACCTTGTACTTCACATTCCTACGATCGGCCTGGACATTTTCGCCTGCGGGCGTGGTTTGTGTTTTTTACAGGGCTCAAGGGCTCCTATGATGATATGCGAGGACTACTAGTTGCTTAAGAACCCCACAAAACCAAAAATGTTCTTCCTCATTCATGGTAATATCGGGATTATCGTTTGTTCTTCTTTGGGGTTCTTATGCAAATTGTAGATGATGATAACCAATAACCCTAAACCCTAAACCCCTAAACCCTAAACCCTCAACCCTAAACCCTTAACCAGTTTGGGGCTCTGGGGCTTTGGGTGGCTGAGGGCTTTCGACAAGGTTTGTACTTGAGACAGCCATCCGAATCAAACCCTAAACCCTAAACCCTAAACCCTAAACCCTGAACCCTAAACCCTAAACCCTAAACCCTGAAACCCCGTAAACCTGCTATGCAGCCACACCAAACTTCGAGCCCTACACCACCCTACATTCCTCCTCTCGAACCCTAGACAGGCCCGAGACACAAGAGTAGCTTTAGGTACTCTGGGTCACCCTAACCCATGCCTAAAGGGTTTAGGGTTTAGGGTTTAGGGTTTAGGGTTTAGGGTTTAGGGTTTAGGGGTTAGGGTGACCCAAGAGTCACCTAAGAATAAAAAGGGTACCCTGGTTTAGTTAAAGGGGCCTATTCTAAGGGAGCCTAAGCCCTGACAAATTTGAAAAAAAAAGGGTGCACTTGTTTGGTTTAAAGGGGCTCAGAAGGAATCCTAAGCCCAAACGAAAAGTGAATAACGGCCTACTCTGGGTCCTGGGACCTGTAGGGAAAGAAATGATGAATTGCCCAGGCACTTCTTCAAGTACTGCGGGACGGCCTTGCGAGAGTCTGCGAAACCCGAACGGAAACATCAGGTGATAGAGTATTACCCTAAACTCTAAACCCTAAACCCTGCACCCTAAACCCTAAACTCATATGCGGGAACAGGGTTTTAGGACGCCCTGGCGCCAAGGCCAGGCTGATCTGTGTGTGCAATACTAGGTTGAACCAAGTGACCCATGAAGGGATTTGTCAGGGAACCTCAACCCCCAAAAAAAGGGGAATAAGGGTCTAGGGTTTAAGGTTAGGGTTTAGGGTTGAGGGATTTGTGTACTACGGGGCATCCTAGATTATGCGCACCAGCCACTTGGTTTGCCCCGGCCACCGCTTTACGTTTTTGCCTCTCGCACTTGCAGATGTGAGCGAGGCTTCAGAGTAGGAAGCCCCGTCATTACAGGAGCATTAGGACCAGCTCGTCGACAGGGCCACATCAGGAGAACAGTGCCAAGACTGCACAAGCTTAACCACTAAAGACACGTCGACTTACCCGAGATGAAACCCTGCCTCAAGCCCGTACGCGCTCCAAGGTGATACAAACCAAGCCGAGCAAGGTTGCGACGCGACCCCTAAACCCTGAACCCTAAACCCTAAACCCAAAACCCTAAACCCTAAACCCTGAACCCTATACCATCATATCACAAGGAGTCCATTGCAAGTTCGCTCTGCTGAGGGAGTGTCATCGAAAACATTGGTACCGAGATTGCACATAGGGCGAACTCTTACTGCTCTTTGCTTAAGAACCCCGCAGAAAACAAAACATGTTCTTCCTGAAAAGGGTATTTTTGTAGGAGGATTAGCTGTTGTGTTTTTCTGGGGATCTTAAGCACATAGCAGCTTACCTGGATCCCGCACGGGTTGGCGAAACGGCTTGTAGGCCGATACAGCCTTGCGTGCACCATACGGTTGGCGAGCTGATAGAAATGCAGCTCTGCAAATTTGAGGACCACGTTTTCTGTAGCGTGTCCCAGCCAGTGGTTCAACGGGCCAACGGGGCTTAACACCCAGTCAGATGCATTATGGCTGCAAGGCGGAATCAACTTAAGGCGTGTACAGATAAGTCGTAGAAGTGATCGGATGATGTTGTGGTTGATGTTGTTGCTTTCTTGGTTTACAATCATCTGTCATGTCTACATTAGCAGTGCAAAGTGAAGAAAAACAAAACGGATAGTTCATGAGTTCAACCTGCAGACATAGATCCAGCACTCTCAAGTTGCTCGACCTGGCGCCATCTTTGGGAGACTTGTTTGCCGACCTACGTCAGTATGCGCGATCCTTCCATGGACTTTGCTCACTTGCCGGCAACCCTGCATCTTAGCGAATGTTCTAGCTGAAAGTAGAGAGACCCTAAAATCCGGCAAGAACATGGAGGCACGCGGCTCATATTCAGTCATGCAGTCCGAAACGAATTCCATTCCGGCGCGAGGATTGTTCCAGGTGCCCCATGAAAGCAGATGCCTTGTGCAAGCGTCGCGTTCTTACCCCCTCTCCGGGCACTCTGTACCTTGTTCGCGCCGGTAACTGACCGTAAATGCCGAAATCTGTGCTGGCGAAACCGGCTCTTCGCTCTGCAAACCTTGAACCCTAAACCCTAAGCCCTAAACCCTAAAACCTCAACCCTAAACCCTAAACCCTAAACCCCAAACCCTAAACCCTAAACCTTGCCAAGGACGCCTCATTGGCTGAGCCGGGAAGCGGCTAAGGACCGCTGGCTGAGCCTCCTTCCCAGCAGGCGACTGCTCTGAAGGCTCAGTTGTGGAACAGTGTCCTCCACCACGGGAACATGCTGCTGCTCGATGCTGTCCTGTGTTGCAGTGCCTCTGAGCTCAAGAGGACCACTCGTCTCGGTCGCAAGCTGCCCGGACAGGAGCTCGATCTGAGCCCAGGAGCAGCTGCCAGCACTTAGCCTTGCAAGGCGTTGAGGAGCATGCTTCCCCACTGCCGCGGATTCCCTTGGCATGTGCGTGGTGTCAAACTCAACACCAACGGCCTGAACGTCCCATGCATGAAGCTGGGCTGCCTCAACATGATGATTTGCTGACTTCCTCGGGCTGTTCCTCTCGGGCCAGTTCTCGGCGGAATCGTGGCTCCGCAAATTGACCTCCGTCAGCTCCGAGGGGGCAGGGTTCGTGAGCTCGGCACCGACCTGCTTGGAGAGACGGCGGAGGCCAGCCATCAGTCCACCACAGAAAGGGACGGATGCCACACTCAAGGCCGAAGTGCTGGGCAACACCTTGAGGCAGGTCTGCACCATGATTCCGTGACTTACCAGAATCATACCTTTCCCAGAGCGCCGACCACGACTGAGGTGGGTCAGGAACCTCCTGGCATAACGCTGACGGGCATCTTTCATCTTTTCGCCCCAGCTGGGCGGGCGACCCGAAACCTTCTCCCAACACACTCGGTCGACCGGGAGCTTCGAAAAGCCTTTGTGAAGCTGGGGGCTCCAATCCTTCCTAGGATGGTCATGAAAACCCTCTGAAAAAACAATCCCCCGGTCCTCTTAGGCCCCAAAATACCACATGTTCCTTTCATACATATGGTCCTCTTCGCCCAAGAAGAGAAACATCTTTTAAACAAAACTATCCCAAGGGCGTACCTAGCTTCAGAGCAGCATGAAGCTCCTCTCTGGATCGCCAAACTCGACCATTCCGGAGCTCCACGTCCCCGAAGACCGGTGGGCCGAAGACTTCCCCGAGCTCGTAGTCCAAGACCACCATGATATCCTAGGACGGGCGAAAAAAAACTTTGACAAATACGCCTTAAGAATTCATATCATCCTCTGAAACCTAACAAGGGAAAGTATAAAAGATGCCGAGGGCCTTCTGCCTAGCATCCAAAGCATCTGCCAGGGCGACGGCGGTTTGCACACAGCGCAAGTAGGGAGACGAGACGATCACGTGGAAGTCAGCGAAGTTGCGCAACTGGTGGGCCGCATGCTGAGCTTCCCAGACCGCATGGTCGGTGATCGGACAATCGAATGGGTACCGCTGGAAATCCTCCGTGCCGTGCCACGCGGAGCCGAAGACCGAGTCCTGACGCTCACCATGTCGGAGGACTGCCACAGCAGAATGATGGCCAAGGCAGGTATTTGCAGAGTGCCCCTGCGCTTCCGGGAGAATGAAGGGCATCTGCTTCCTCACCTCATCCTCACTGTGCGTCCTGCAAGGTTTAGGCTCAATTGTGATTTCCTCGTCATCACTGGGAGCTCTTTGAGACGCCACAGGATACCCGAGGGACACGGGCCACTCACACGCCATGCCCTAAATTCTAAACAACCTAAAGCCTGAACGCAGAGGTTTCCGAAAACCTGTCTCCTGCTTGCCCAACTCTGCTCTACGGTCTTTGAGTCGAGACATTTCAGCAAAGTCTGCACATTTGAAGCTACATACAATCTATGATATATGTACATATATTTATATACATACATACATATACATATATATATATACACATATATTATACAAACTACATAACCCATACAGCATATAACAACAAAAAGAAAATCACAGATATTGTACATCATGCATCAAATTGAACATCATGTAGAAGACATCCATATGTCATATCTACTTCCGGAAACCTCTGTTATGCCTACTTGCGGCTTGAGCCGTAGCCATCGGGTTCAGGGTTCGAGCTTCAAGGCATGTTGTGCCGTGAGGCCAGAAAAAAAGAAAAAACAAGAAAAAAGAAGGGGATTTCCACCAAGACCCAGAGCTGAGAGGGTCCAGGGCCGAAGCCTCACCCCCCCCCCCCCCCCCCCCTAAATCCTAAGCCCTAACCCCTACGCCCCAAACCCTAAACCCCAAACCCGAAACCCCAAACCCGAAACCCTACACCCTAAACCCAACAAAAAGCCCGAAACCCGAAACCCAAACCTGGGTGGGTCTGTGGCTCCTTGGAGATATCGTGTTCTGTGTAATATGGGGTCGGTATACTACAATCACCGCCCCAAAAACCCTATTCTAATGATTAAGGCCCCCTATATTACTTGGCCACGGCGTGCATGATGCTCAGCTTGCCCCGAGAAATTCCACGCTTTCGCAAGCTGCGGTTTAGGACTTATAGCTTACTTCTCCAACAACCAGGGGAAGAAATGGTTAAACTTTGCTATTCCTACTAAATAAGGAAGCAAAAAGTTTAGAGTTCAGCTGTTGGCTAAGCAATATAGGGTGTAGGTGCGTCAGTCAGATGGGGAGCTGGGATCTGGGTCCTGTTAAAGCTGAACTGTTCAGCTTCCCAAAGAGCCCAATACCCCTTAATTAGGGAATATTCCTTAAATCATGTTAAGGACCCCTGAATAATTTACGGTATATTCCTTAATTAAGGAGTATTGGGCTCTCTGGGTTCAGGTGCATGAGGACTGTGCGATGACCCTCCCGTCGGCAATGTTGGCTCAAACGCAAGACCACGACTCTCTCTCTCACTTGCCCTCGGCCGCCCATGTGCCCTAAACCCAAACCCCAAACCCCAAACCCTAAACCCTAAACCCCAAACCCTAAACTCCAACCCTTGAAGCACTTCCTCGCAGCCCTCAACGGTTTCCAGCCTTCTCCTCGCTCTTCTGCTCGTGCAAAATCCGCAAGGTCCGGGTATTCACGTAGCCCATGTTTCCGGGATCCAGGTGCCTGCCCACGAAGCCCCCTGAAACCTAGACCTAAACCCTAAAAATCGAAAGCCGAAACCTAAACCCTAAACCCTAAACCCTAGACCCTAACCCTAAACCCCGAAGCCCTGAGCCCACTTCTCTGGCTAAGAACCGAGGAAGGCTGTGGGGACTTACTTTGGGCTGTCTCGGTGTCGCACCCCCCCCCCCCCCCAAAGACCCAAATACACTTTGAAAGAGGAATCTGCCTTTAATAAGAATCAGGATCCCTTTTTAATTTAAGGCATCTTCCTGCTTAAGGGGCATTGGGCTCTTTGGGCCCTGAACACTGAACCGTAGAATATGGGCGCTGTGCGCATCAATCCTTTCACCCTGAGATGAAAAGGACCGCAAGCCCTCCTTTGGTGTTCAGGGCTTAGGGTTTACGATATAGGGTGCTTTTGAATGGGGTTCAGGGTTTAGGGCTTAGGGGTTTTAGGGGTTGGGCTTTTGGGGTTTTCGGGTTTTTCGGGTCTAGCATTGAGGGCTTTTTGCAGCTTAGGGTTGAGGTCCTAAACCCTAATTCCTTCGGATCCTACCCCGGCACCACCGGAAAAAATGGGGGCGCATAGTCCTGTCATCCTTACCCCAAGACCTAAACCCTAATTGCAAGGCACCCCGTAAGTACTGTTTGCTTAAAGAACCCCCCCCCCCCCCCCCCCCCCCCCTAGAGTAATCTAGTAGGGATTCGTATCTTTCATTTTTTGGGGGGTTCTTAAGCAACTAGTAGGGGCAGCGACTGAAAACAAAGGGGAGGGGAGGGGATCAAACACCATAAGGTCTAATATAAACCCTAAACCCTAAACCCTAAACCCCAAACCCCAAACCCTAAACCCTAAACCCTAAACCCCAAACTGCTGTGGGAGACTGGCCCACCGGCCTCAGGAGCCGCTCTGGATCTCCAGGGTAATCGATGGCGTCGATCACCTTCGTCGAGTCGGCCAAGCAGAAGCGGAAGGAGCAAGACAGGTTAGGGTTTAGGGTTTAGGGTTTAGGGTTTAGGGTTTGGGGTTTGGGGTTTGGGGTTTGGGGTTTGGGGTTTGGGGTTTGGGGTTTGGGGTTTGGGGTTTGGGGTTTGGGGTTTGGGGTTTGGGGTTTGGGGTTTGGGGTTTGGGGTTTGGGGTTTGGGGTTTGGGGTCTGGGGTTTGGGGTTTGGGGTTTAGCTGAACCCTATACCTAAACCCTAAACTCATTAGGGCGCCACAGCTCGGAGGTCGGTAGCACCCACGATGGGCCCGGTTTCTCAGGAACCAGTTCCTTCCCCCTAGACCCTGGTTCCCTCCACCTGGTCTGATTATTATTACTGATATTATGCTTCTTCTTATTCTTATTCTGACACCTGCCCTCCAGTAAGGACCGTCCTTTCCGCCATCAAAATTTGTGACTGGGATCGACCAGTTTTGCTACAAATCCTGGTGTACCCTAGATCAGTCAGTGCTTTGTGAAGGAAGCCTCTCAAAACCTGGATGGAGGAGTCTAGGCCTAGACCCTGGAAGGGTTAGGTTGAGGTGGTTTTGCGGCCGAAAACGGCGTGGGCTGTTCCCAAGCGAAAACGGCGTGGGCTGTTCCGAAGCTTTCCAGGCTACTCGGCATCCCAATCTTCACAGCTTCTGCGCCATATCACAGCAAACCCAAACCCCAAATGCAAGCATACCATAATGAACAAATGTATGTACAGCATTATGTACATACATATGTTATGTATATCTGCAGATATGCATATGTACAGGCTCACACATACATACTTATTCATACGCGTATACATTTTTACCCCCCCCCCCCTCCGCCCCCGCCGATTCCCGCGAAGCCCGTGCCCGCGATGCCTTGTAGTACTCGTCGTTGTCCACAGGCACCCCAGCCTTGCGAGTTTTTTTTGGGGGTTTAGGGTTCAGGGCTTCAAAGGCCCTAACCCTGAATCCTAAACCCTATGCAAACCCTGAACCTTAAACCCTAAACCCTAAACCCTGAGTACCTAAAGTTTGAAGCCTCTTTGTCCATGCCTCTTAAACGCAAACTCAACCCCTGGAAAGATGGCAGGGGTCCGCACCTTCTTGCTCCTCCCAGGGCCTGCTGCCACCTCGGAGACCTCCCGGGTTTAGGGTTTAGAGTTTAGGGTTTAGGGTTTGGGGTTTAGGGTTTAGGGGGGTTAGGCGTTTCGGGCGTTGAGGATTACATAGGGTTCAAGGTGGCTCAGGCTTTAGGATGTGTATGAGGTTTAGTGTTTAGGTTTTGGGGCTTATATAGGGGTTTAGTATCGCTGTTCAAGGCAGGGCTTCAGGCTTTTCAGGCGTGGGGTGTGTAGGGGTAAGGATTTAAAAACGGTTTAACCTTCAGGCTCTGGGCCAAACATGCCAACCTGACTTGCAATAACAAGTGTGCTACTGGTGAAAGAAGATGATAGATGATAGTACCGTTTTTGCTTTCTTCTTAAAGTCATGTGATGGTTGCGAGGTTGCCTTGCTTTTCAGATCTTCTTGCCCGCTTCCAGTTTGCAAAACTAAGCTTTGCGGGCTCAGAGATATCGGGTAAGGATTTTGGGGAGGACACTCTAGAAGGGTGTGTCGGTGCTTCTGCGGGCACTTCTTCGCGCACATGCAAGCGCGATGATCTAGTGACAGCTAATAGCCGCTACTCCTGCTGACTCCTGCTCGTTTTGGCATAGGGTTGACACGCTCTCGCGTCTCGGGTTGGCCTGAATCAAGGTGATGATCTTCTTGTCAGCCATGTTTTTGAACTCCCGGATCTCCTGGCATCGTATGAACAGCACCAGAATGGTATACGTAGTCATCAGCAGGGTTGGCTTGGGCGTGCCGATGGCAATCAGCAAGCTCCCTTACTCTTTCTCTCTCTGCTCCACTGCTCCAAGCGGCACAGGAGCCCGCAGCTTCCCCCCCCCATTTCTCTCATATGAGGATGCAAAGTGCTACGCCGGGCCGACGTCAATGACCTCGGGGCAGAGATCCTTGAACCTGAAAGGGCTGGAGAGTTTGGGGCTCAGTAAAGCAAGGAAGAAGCAAAACCCTAAAACCCTAAACCCCAAACCCTAAACTCTAAACCCTAAACCCTAGGCCCTAAACCCTAAACCCTGGTGGTGGTGGTGGTGGTGGTGGTGCACAATTCTGGGGAGCTTGTCGGCCCGGGGCCCATTTAGAGCAACCTGTCTACGCAGCTCGGCTTGCTGGATGGCAGTTTAGCAAACTCATCTATAGTGACTATGGCCATTTGTTGGGGACCTTGCGTGCCTCTTCATGCACCCGGGATGCTCCTACGCCACACAGGTAGGGAAAGACGCCTGCACATGAGTTGTCATGTGCAGAGTTTCAATGGAAAAAACCTTCTCTCACATCGCGAGAAGAGAACGAAGTGGGCCTATGCGAACGGACAAGAACGAGGGAGAATATGTGCTTTATTCTTTTGGGGGGGTTCTCAAGCAAAGAGTAATTACATGAAGGCCCCCCGTGGACCCTAAGAAAAAAAGGCACCCTG